TTCATCGGGAAGCTTAGAGCTGCAGTGTTAGCTTGTGGTCACCTTGGTAAGGTCATCTTATGGCTCCATTAACTTGCAGGCTATGTCAAGAGCTATAGTAGTTTGGGTTTTGGTAGAACTAATGCTTCAATTGTTCTTTAAGATAACTACAAGTGGATTTACCAGTTTTGCCTGTGATATGGCCACGTGTTGAATGTGGGACATCTTGGGCCCAGATGCTGTTTTATCATATCAAAGAATGTTTGTTTCCCTGCTTGCAGTGACTAGAAGACATGGATCCATTTTGTCTAAAAGTTGTACCATTTCTCTCATCTTTTGGTTAACAGTTATTGAATGATGACTGTAACACACACGCACCTGTGCTAGGCATTTTATACATTCTTATTTAGTCCTCATAATGGCATTATGACCTAGGTAAGTGCTATTACTATCCCCATTTGCAAATGGGTGAATTTTCCTGTATACCTAAGAAGTGCCAGAATCAAGATTCTAATTCAGATTAGAATTTGAGTCTAGGCCAGAGGGTTTTTTTTTTTTTTTAATTTTAATTGTTTAGTTGTAGGTGGACACACAATATCTTTATTTCATTTCTAGGTGGTGCTGAGGATAGAACCCAGTGCCTCACACATGCTAGGCGAGCACTCTACCACTGAGCCACCACCCAGTCCTAGGCCAGAGTTCTTGATGCCTCCTTTCTGCTAATGGTAACTCACCAATGGCTGTGATATAATTTTAAGAAAGAAGGGGAAGGCTGACTACTCCTGTTTGGTTTTTGTGTATATCTTACCTTCCTACACTGCTCTCTCCCACTTTGTTTGTAAAAAGACTCATGTGATCCTCTTAACAGCCTTTCTTGTGAAACAGGTGGAGGCTGGGGCCCAGAGGAGTGATTTGCTGCTTGTCTCTCAGCTATGAAGCTATGGAACTGAGCCAGCCCAGGTCTTGAGATGGCGGTCTTGCCACTTTCATTGCCATCCTATTAGCAGGCCTTTCTCTACTAAGTGTGGAAAATACAGGAAATTGTCCAAGGCAGGAATCCTTGGCAGTATGTCTTTGGGAGAACAGTTTCCACACCTTGGCATTTCTCTTACAGGTTGTTATAAACAGAGTTGATTTAAGTTTTTTTCTCAGAACTTTGTTGCTAGGAATTAAATGAATTTTGGACTGGGCTTGTAACCAGTTTCTTACATACTTAACAAAAACAACAAATGTTTAAAATTCTGTGTAGAGGTCCAGATCAACAGATTTGTACTAACTTGTTCCTTGCATTTTAAAAATAAAATTTTATGTTCTGGTTTTACCAGAATTATCTAATTTTTGACCCATCATTTTTTTCTTCTCCTTCCCTTTCACTGGAGATTGAACCCATGGGCTTTCTACCTCCCAGCTACATCCCTAGCCAGCTATTTATTTATTTATTTAGAGATAGGGTCTTGCTAAGTTGCTGAGGCTGGCCTCAAACTTGTATGGATTCTCCTTTTTAAACTTCCATTAAGATCAGCCTGGAGTAAACAAAAGAAAGAGCGTTTATGGGGCTGACTCTAGGTAGTTCTGACTCTGGTAAGGGCTCAAACTCTTGCTAATAAGAAGCATCCATTCCTTTTTAAAACTTTGGGCCACATAATTGCAAATTCACGTGTACGTGGGCTATATACTTCCTTTTTTGATAATGGCAGCAAAATGTGTTGTGTATTAGATCTTCAGAATCAAATATTTTCAAATAATAATAAAAAGATTCCAAAAACATTTTTGCTCAATTAGGGATATTGGTACATCGTCTTCTGTGTTTTGGCCAGGTATGACTTGGAATAGATTTGATTGCATTTTAAGAACTGTGTGGTATACAAACTTTTCAGTCTAGTTTTACATTATTGACACTTTTCTATAAGTAAATATATACTTAGATTCAGCTAACCCAAATATTCCTCAGAATTTGGTTACTTAAAAAATTCTGAATTGTTTTGGGTTAGAATCTCTTCTGTGGCCAAGGTTTAATTTAATTTAGTTCATTCTTTGTGAACTAAAGAGCCTATACAACCTGAGGTGTTTATTCTGCAAGTTATCTGGAAACTGAATGTGAAATTCATACTTATCAAAATTAATGATATTAGCTCTATTTCTGCATTTTTTTTCTTTCATATTTCCGAATAGTTCAGCAATGAGATCAGTGTTACAATTATCTTGGCCCCCAGTAAGTCCTCCAGTGCTCTTGTATAGGTGTGCTAAGGTCTTGGTTTTTGAATAAAAGTGGTTTAGGTCGGTAACGGACCTTGGAGAAAAGCCATTTGAGCTTTTACTTAGCAGAGAGCATAGAGTTCAAAGTGGGTTGCTTGCTCAAGTCACAGGGGTAGTGAGGTTGAACCTGGTGAGTGTGATTCCTCTCTGCAGTTCTTTCTTACATGGTGATCTGCTTTCCTGGTTGTTCCTTTACCCAAGCAAAGGCGTCACTGTTTATTTTCATTTTCCAAAGAGAATTAGAATACTGAAAATGTCCAGATTGTATTTTCTCTCTTGAAGACTCACATTTGGTTTCTGCCATCAGGAATCAGTTATACCCTTTGTTAGTGATTAAACACATATGTATGAGTTTGCTTTTTATAAAAGAATATGTTGACATGTTACTGAATAGACCATTTTGTGGCTGCTATATTAGGGTGAATTAGTGAGAGTGCAAAACTCTTGCTGTCCCATCTTACAAAATTGATAGAAAGCTGGAGAGTTATTAACTTGTGAAACTTTCCTATTGCTGCTTTATAGCAGCACAAGTGTTGAAAAATTCCCAGGTAGTTTTTGCTTCTCATTATTCCTAGGGTTTGTTTTTGGCATTGGTTGAGGCTATAAACACATAATTTTTTTGGGGGGGAAAGACTGTTATCTTTATGTTATTAAGTTTGCTGTAACAGTCAAATTTCTAAATTATGCCTATTCTGTAGTGGGCAGAAGATTGAATTTTTAGTTGAAAATACAGAGAGTGGTGAGGCCCTTTTGGTGGTCAATTTTATAAAACTCCATATCTTCCAGTAGACATTAATGTCAATGTTGGAGGTGCCATTATTTTTATTATCATGTAAGAGAAAATACTTCCAGAAGCTTTTAACAAATCATGTTAAATCTTGTAACCACTAAAGCCCATCCCTGTGATCTTTGAAAAATTAAAGTGTTTGGGATTCAGTTTCCTCATGAAATTAGGGATAGCACTCTTTTAACTCATGGGGATGCTTGAAGGAATATATGAGACAATCTTGGTCTTTAATAGGGACCAATTAACAGTGAACAGTTAATTTTCTTCCCATTCTAAGTTCATTATTATTCCTTTTTACTTGGTAGTGTAAAGGCTTTATTTTATACACTGTATCTTTCATGTCTATTACCTTTACTTTTGTATAGAGATTATATTTTGCACAAAATGAAAAATAAAATGAAAAGAAAAAAGAAGAGATTATATTGTGCAACTTGAGTCTTAATATTCTTTAAAAATAATTGTATATATCTTTGGAGTTCATTTAAAAATATTACTATAAGAACATTTTGTTTCTTATTTGAGTGATTTCCCTTGTAGAAAGTTGTAAGAGGTAATACTTGTTGGCTTTTCCTGATTTTTTTTTTTTAATTTCCAATAGCAGGGATTGAACCCAGCACATGCTAGGCAAGTGCTCTGCCACTGAGCTACACATCTGGTCCTCTTTATTTTGAGACAGAGTCTTGCTAAGTTGGCCAGGCTGGCCTAAAACTTGAGATTGTCCTGCCTCAGCCTTCTGAGTAGCTGAGATTACAGACATGCACCAACATGCCTGGCTTTTTTTTTTTTTTTTCATTCTGGGGTCTGGCTTTCAAAGTGATTACTGACTAATCAATTTTTTTAAACCTTGATTACAGTTTTTTTTTGGGGGGGTACAGGGGATTGAACTCAGGGGCACTCGATCACTGAGCCATATTTTGTATTTTATTTAGAGACAGGGTCTCACTGAGTTGCTTAGTGCCTCAGTTTTGGTGAGGCTGGCTTTGAATTAGTGATCTTCCTGCCTTAGCCTCCCAAGCCCCTGGGATAACAGGCATGTGCCACTGCCCCCACTCCTTGATTACAATTTTTATTAGTCATTTTTTAAGGCTGAAAGCGTTAAGATATGCTTTCTCCGCAAACAATAAATTAGAAGTAAATTAGTATTACTTTTATATTTTTATCAATAAAATCACTTTTGTGTAAGAAAAAACAATAAGAAGTCATGCTGAAGACATTGGCATATTAAAAACATTTTATTACTTTCTGGTCACTGATGAACATGAAGCTCCTTGAAGCCAAGACTGGTATTTTGTAAAGTTCTTTATGGTATGTGACATTTCTCACCTTGCTTTGTGAGTCCATGTTTGGAAAGATCTTTCTTCAGATTTGCTTAGTTCATTGGCTTATATACTTCTTTGGAGTTTTTTTTTTTTTTTTTTTTTTTTTTTTTTTTTGGGGGTTTTTTTTTTTTTTTTTTTTTTTTAAATACTAGGGATTGACCACAGAGGTGTTTTACCACTAAGCCACATCTCCAGCCCTTTTTGTTTTTTATTTATTATATTTTATTTTTTTGTGGTGCTGGGGATTGAATCCAGGGCCTTGTGTATGCAAGGCAAGCATTCTACCAACTGAGCTATATCCCCAGCCCCTGTTTTTTATTTTGAGACAGAGTCTCACTGAGTTGTTTAGGGCCTCACTAAGTTGCTGAGACTGACCTCAAACCTGTTATCCTCCTGCCTCAACCTCCTGAGTCACTGGGCTTACACATGTACAGCACCATGCCTAACTTTTGATGCCTTTGGTTTTATTTGTGTAAAGGGGATGATTCTGTAGTTACAATTTCCCTTCTATAATTATGGTGTACTGCTAATAATTACATATAGTGGCTGATAAAACATTGTAGCTAGAAGCAAACTGAGAGAAGTACTCTGAAAGAAATATTTCAAAACCCATTTAAGCATCTAATTTATTTCATTTTCTTTCTTTCTTTTTTCAATAGCATGCTCCACACTATTCAGAACGGTGCTTACTAGTGTCCCGTTGTCTCAGTTCAGTGGGATATGATCCTAATGAAAAAGTAAGTATGTTAACAGCTGAGTTTTTCTATGTTCAGTGGGGCAGATTAAACTTTATTAATACTGTACAATTATTTATTTCTTTATCATCGTAAGTTTTACAGATTCTCAGTCTGTGTTCTTCTGTTCATTGTGGGCCACAGCCTGAGTCCTTTAATTTTGTCTTTGTATCTATACCAAAACTTGAATACATTGGTAATATATTTCCTTTGTTTTTAGGAGAATAAGTAGATATTATTCTTTGTTAAAGACTGGGCACTTGCAAGATTTTGTTCAAATTATTGAAGTTTTTGTTTCAATTATTAATATTTATGACTCATGTGGATTGAGGGCAATTAGGCATATTGAAAATTTTGGGACAGGGTAATTCCAACTAAAATCTTGGTATATGGTAATGTTTGAGCCTTGTAATAGGAGAGAGATTAGAAGTGGTGATGGGAAATAAAACATGTTTTAGTCGTGATGTAGTCTTCAAAGAGGCAGAAAATTTTGGTCAAGAAGAGATTTTTCAAGATAAATGTCATTGAAGTGTAACTGCTGTGAATGATTAATCAAGAGTACCATATTACTGAATTGCACAGAACTACTTTGCAGATTCTTTTGAATCTGAAGATTTGAAAGAAGAGGAGTCTACATTTTTGCCATTCAATAGAAATATAACAGGGGTGGGGTGGGATGTGGTGTGTAGCTCAGTGGTAGAGTGTTTGCCTTGGGTTGTATGCACAAGGTCCCGGGTTCAATCCCCAACGCCACAAAACTGACAAAAAAGAAATAGAATTTGAGATACAGTGGCAGGAAAAATATAAATTCAAATTTTCTATTTGCTCTATTATGAAAATAAACAGATAACATTTTAGGTGTTAAATAAATATATTAAAATTAATTTTATCTCAACAGATAACCAATATAAAAAGAATTAATGAACTGGGTATGCATGCCTGTGATCCCAGCAACTTGATCCCAGGCTGAGGCAGGAGGATGGCAAGTTTGAGGCCAGACTTGGCAACTTAGCAAGACCCTGTCTCAAAAAATAAAAAGGGCTGGAGATGTAGCTCAGTGTTAAAGAATCCCTAGATTCAATCCCAATTAACGCTGCCCCCCCCAAACTAAAAAAAACCACTTTAGATTTTGTTTTTGAATGAAATCTTCTAAATCTAGTGAATCTTTTTGTACTTTTCTGGAACATCTCAGTTTGGCAACATTTAAAGATCTCTAGTTCATGTGGACAGTACAGGTTTTCATAGATTAGCTATGAGTGAAATTTCGCTGTTATGAAATCTATAGTTTGATTTAAAAACTTTACCACAGACAATTTGCTTTGGAGTTCATGTGTACATATGTTTGTGCACACAGTGGACCACCTCCTCCAGCCACTCCCTGTCTGCCTATAGTTTTCCCATTTGTAAAATGGGGATATTATCAAAACTGACTTCATAGACCTTTTTTTTTATCTTTTAGATTAATGAATAACTTTTTAAAATACAATATAAAGAGAATAAATAACCATTATCTGATAAGTGAAATAATTCACAGAAGGGTTTGCCACAGTGGCTGCTTTATAGAAAGCACATGGCCTAAATGTTGCTGCTTAATATTACCCTTAACAATTCAGTTTTGCACATTTGAATTCTGAGGCTCCAAACCCCTTGATAGGAAGCGAAAACTGGTACATTCTCAAGCCTCTCTTTCCCAGAGCTGGTGGACTTGCCCATTGCGCTGTGACCTTTCTCAGAAGTATCCAGCAAGTGACTCGCGGTCTGGAGTTCTGCTGTCACTCCTTCCCCAAGTACCCAATGGAGCAGGCCAGCTCAGTCCTTCTCCAGGTTTCTGGATGAAGTGCCAGCTGTACATTTAGACCCCAGCAATGAGGATCTAAGCACAGGGAAGGAAGAAAAAGAAGTGGGGGTGGGTACAGAGACACTGCATGAAAAAGCTCTCAAGAAATCTCAGGAGACTTTGCACCACAGACGGCATCATTTGTACAGTGAAGAGGGTGGGTTCCCCTGCATCTCTTCCTATACCCAGAAGCCCCTCTGTCTTTAGGGACTTAGACTTCTGGTTTATATTTGTGGTTTTCATTTTCTTTTTCCTCAGAGTGTCTTTGGGGTGTCTTCATGTAACTTCACATGTAGAATGAAGTCCTGGCTTTTAAGTGGAATTTTTGTCCATCATTTGCCTTTTTGTCCCCCAGGTTTATCTGGACAGTTCCCAATACATGTTGTGTTTTGAGCTGTAGAAAAGTGCCTTGTAGTTATTTGTTGTCGTCCTCTTCCTTCAGTGTCACTTTCTTCACACATCCCGCCCATGCTCTCCCTTCTCTGTACACAGCTTTAATGTAGCACTTAACATGATTTGTTGTGATTGTGTCATATTGTCCACTGACATCATCAAGCATAGTTGATATTTACTTGTAACTGACGCGGAGGGGGAGTTTTAAAGTTGATTTAACTTTAAATTAAGGCATGTATGTCCTTGGATATGCGTGGTCTATCTGAAAGAATAGACAAGAGACTAGTAAGAGCAGGACACTGGAGTGCTTTTAAAATTCTGAACCATATGTTTCTTGACTTATTTAAAGGAAAATTTTTATGTAGAGAAGATTAATATGTGTTTGAGTTTGTACACTAATTGGTAATATATTAATAGCCTTGAGTAGAGATGATATGTCAGGTGCAAACACATATTTTTGTTACTGGGAATTGAACTCAGTGGCACTTTGCTACTTATCCAGTTCTTTTTATTTTTTATTTTGAGACATGGTCTTGCTAAGTTACTTGCTAAGTTGCACAGGCTGGCCTTGAACTGTGATCTTTCTGTTTCAGCCTCCTGAGTTGCTGGGATTACAACAACTGTACCACCATGTGTACCACCATGCCCAGCCAAATATTTGCTTTGATACAATTTTTCCTGATTAGTCAAGGGCATACTCCTAGATTCCTAACAGTCTGGCATGCGGTTCAGTGCAGTAGAATAACAATAGTTGTAGCTAATGCTTGTTGAGTATATATTATGTGCTAGGCACTGTCCTGGGTACTTTCAGGGTGTTAATTCGTATAATTCTCATGACCTCTTATGGCAGATATTCTTATCCCCATTGGTATATCAAATGAGGGACAAGAAGTAGATAACTTGCCCACGGAAGAACATTCAAGAAAAACACGTGGGAGTTCTGGGGTTTTTCAGACTGGATAGTTTGGCTCCGACTGACTCCTAACCACTAGTTCTGCCTTCTGTACAGAAAGCAGAATGGGATTCTTCCTTAATCCTTGTAATTGGTCATACATATTTGCTTTAATGGTTGCTTAACGTGTAATTTACAGGAATGCTGTCTGCGGTGCTCTTATCAGATGTAGTTGTTTAATGCTTCATAAAATTTCACAGTTTTAAATGCGGTTCGAGGAAGTGTAAGCATTGTTTTCTAGAACTGTGCCTCCTGTTTAACAGATATTTACTGCGACCACTTGGATAGGAAGTTTTACAGAAGTCTCAGGCCTGAGGTGAAAGCAGGTTATTTTAAGGGTCTCTATGGTTCCGGGTTCTGTCACATCGAGAGCTTGCTAGTTTACAATAGCAGCTAGTCTCAGGTTGGTGAAATGAACCATGTGTGAGGTGAAGGTCAGAAGAAGAGTTTGAAAGCCTTTCCCATTCTGAGATTCTGGACTTTCCCTGTGGGTTAACATGGTGCTTTAAGTTATAGAAGAGTAATATTTTAGAAGATCATGTAGTTAACTCTTCTTTTAGAAATATAAAACATTTTTATGGTTCTCTCTACTAAACTTAAAACATTTCACTGACCCATGAATAATTGTGTACATATGTGCATTGCAATCATATTACTCCTAATTGTGTGTTTTCTTCCCTTCTTCCGTCCTTCCTTCTGTTTTTTTCTCTATGTTAAGGATTGGGGATTGAATCCAGGCCTTGCTCATGGTAGGCAAGTGCTCTACCATTGAGCTATATTCCTTGCCAATTGTGTGTTTTCTAAAAAAGAGATTAGTCAGCACAATTTTAGTGTTGGAAGAAAGCCTTATGAAATACTTATTCATTAGTGTACTATCAGTTTATGTATATGGAAGTTAAGAAATTGCTTAAGCCAAGGTCATCAGTAGCAAAGCTGGGCTTGAGACTTAGGTCTCCAGATACACACCAGAAGCATTTTTCTTATCATTTGATTTTAGCTGCTTCAAAATGTGATGATTATTCAGACTTAACACTGAATTCAAATGGTATGACCTACTTGGTCTGGACATCTTTGGATATAAGCACAAAACAACTCAGGATGCTTAGGACTTCCCAGACTTTATAAAACAAAATTTAAAATAAAAATTTTAAGCATTTTTGAGTTAAAAGTTTTTTAGTTTTTTAAAGTATCATTTGAAGATTTGCTTTTGTTAAGAAAATTTATTTCCACTTAAAAATAAAGTAACCTAGTCAAGTCATGCTATAACAAAGTAATTAAGGTCAGATGATTTTAGTTATTTCTTGGTTTTAAGTGTACATATTATCCTAGAAAGTCAATGTTTCCTAGAATAATGTCCATTGTTGATTATGGAAAAAACTTGATGTTTTCTGGTCTCAAACAATTTTACCTTTTTTTCCTTCTTTTTCAGACTTTTGATAAAATACTTATTGCTAATAGAGGAGAAATTGCATGTAGGGTGAGTAGAATTTGAATTCTCTTTTCCATTTTACTCAATGAAATTTATTATTATTAAATCCCTTTAAATATGAATTACTATAAATAGATAACATTCATGTATTTTAAATAGGTTATTAAAACTTGTAAGAAGATGGGCATTAAGACGGTTGCCATCCACAGTGATGTTGATGCTAGTTCTGTAAGTATATTTTAGTTTAAATCTGAACTTAATTTTGAGTTACATACAACAAAAATGAAAGCTATTTTATTTTTTCTTGGCCTCAAAAATGCATATTAATTTTTAAAACTTAATTTTTCACTGTTATATTAAGTAAAATGGAAGTGTCATAATATCATCTCTATGTGTCCTAATTCTTTGTTTTTAAAGCTTAAAAACCAAGAATAGACTAAAAAATTGCAAAGCTATTGCTGGTCAGCAAGTAGATTTAAGCAAAGCATGAGAAAGTTAAATGGAAGATTAATGAACTGTTTACACAATGCTCCCTTATGAAAGCACGTTTCCCCAGCATAACTCCAGTGTCACTAAGGGAATGCTGTGGTTGTTTAACCTTTCCTAAATGGCTGATGTGTTCAGCTGAAAGTTGATAAATGAGAGATAGGCTGATGCTAATTGGACATGAACAAAAGAAGGTATAGCATAAAGCAATGAATGATATATAATTTTATCTGGCATTTTTAACACAGCAGGCATTTTTTAGCTGTAATGAACTATGAATGAATAGAAAAAAAATCCCATGGGAAAAGAATGTAAATTATTGGAACTTTATGGAATGAAATATAAGTAGTTGTACTTTAATGTAAGTTACTATTTTTCAAAAGTGTGCTTTTGATAACCAGACCTTTTGTTAATGTTAGCTTTTATAATATAGTAATTTAATACAGTTTTCAAGTTTTGTGATCTTTAAATTTTTGTTTTATCCAGAATTATGTTGTTGATTTTTGTCTTATTGTAATTCTCCTCCTTTTTAAGAAATAAAATGGAAATAACTACAAACTAATTTCCCGAAAATAAATGCTAAGTATATAATTTATTTGGCACCTGCATTTAAAATATCTATCTTTTAATGAAAAGTAATGGAACATTTTGCATATGTATTGTTTGATATTCTTTTTTTTTTTTAACATTTGATTGTGGCTTCTTTGCAAAAAATCATTTAAACTATGATGGCTTTAATGGTAATTTACGTTCCTCAGATATTCATCAAGTAATGAGAAAACTGTTACTTTTATTAATCTGTTTCTTGATTGGTAAATTAAGGCATTTATTAACAGCAAATTCCTATAGGGAAAAATTTTGTTAAAGTCAACATCAAGCTAGTAATAGATTTAAAATTCATATTTCTCCTCTTATGTTTATTGTCAGTATGTTAGCTTATGGGATATTTTCATCTATGGATAAACTGAGAGAAAAAAATGTTTGAATTGTAGGCACTGTTTTATTTCAAGACTAACAGGGACCTTTTGTTTATTACTTTTCCATATTAAAATGTAGTTAATTCTCTATGCTATGTTCTCTTGGAAGTGACTGTTGTATGGATAGTTAAAAATCATTGACATTTTTTTTTTCTTTCACACTTACATTCCAGTGTTGGTGCTGTAGAATAATCTGTAATCTGTAGCATCTTCTGCAAAGTGTTGTCCCAAATAGCATTGCCAACTCTCCTATTCTTACATTTCTAGTTTTATATTCTGATTTAGACAAATTATTTTTCAGATTCTGTAAAAGCTAGTTTCAAAAGAGTTACTGTAAGTTTTTTATCTTTCTTATGCATGCCTTTCCCAAAGCAAATGTGAGAATTTTCTATTTTAAAGAAATTTGACGCTGAAACTAATAGTAGATACATCAAGAATTATAATATATGATTTAGAATATGATTTCCCAGGTTCCATAGTAGAAGTACTGCATTCTCAGTCAAAACTCAACAGTATGAACACATCAGAGAAAGGCATTTGGTTTCTGCTTCATTGGCAAGAAGGCAGAAAAGGTGAATTTCTTTAATAATATTTTTCCTTCTTCAACACTTGATCATGGAGGTTTCCATCATATCTAATCAGCTTTACAAGATCAGTAATATGAACAAGCCATGCTGTTCAAATGTTATCATTAGGATGTTTGTCATTAAGAAGTGAGAATTTAAATGTAACTTGGAGTTAAAAAGTTACATACTTTATATGTTGACTTCATAAATTGAAATGTAATTATTTATTGTAGTAGGGAAATACTACAAAACTTGATTGTGAAAGTTATTAATTTTTTGTTAAAGCAACTAATTTTCAGTTAACCAGGGAAAATTGTTAAGCTACTACTCAAGTAATACATCATACAAACAGGTAAAGCCAGTTGCAGAAATTGGTGTTTAATGGAAAAGTCATCTTGAAAATGATTATGTAGTTCTTCTGTCAGACCCTCCCTTCAGTGGATTCTTCAAAATTGTCTTTAGGATTCTTGGCTCTTTGTTCTTCCATGTGATTTTAGAATGAGCTTCCAGAGTTATCCCATCCCAACTGAATTTTTAGTGTCTTTTTTTAAATTTATTTTTTAAATTTTAATTTGTTATACATGTCAGCAGAATGCATTAAAATTCATATTACATACATAGAGCACAATTTTTCATATCTAGTTGTATACAAAGTAAAGTCACAACATTTGTGTCTTTATACATGTACTTTGGGTAGTGATATCCATCTCATTCCACCGTCTTTCCTACTCCCATGCCCCATTCCTTCTCCTCCCCTTCCCTCCGCCCTATCTGGAGTTCATGTAATCCTCCCATGCCCCCCTCCCCAACCTCATTATGAATCAGTATCCTTAAATCAGAGAAAACATTTGGCATTCCGTATTTTTAGTTTCTATGAACAGAATTTCTATAAATGTACAAATCTTTTTGTGAAAATAGACTTTTATTTTTCTTGGTTAAATACCTAGGAGAGGGGGCTGGGATTTGTAACTCAATGGTAGAGCACTTGCCTAGCATCTATGAGGCCCTGGGTTTGAGTCCCAGCCCTGCAAACAAAAACAAAATTAAAACACCTAGGAAGGAATTTCTGGGTCATTCAGTAGATGAGGGGTTGGCAGCTTTTTTTTTTCCCCCCTTTTTTTCTTTTGTTTGGATGGTAAATATATTTGTTTGGAGAATAAATATATTTTAGACTTTGAGGGTGTCCATTGCTGCTGCTGCTGCTGCTGCTGCTGCTTCTCCTCCTCCTTCTCCCCTGACCCTCCATTTTTTTATGATATCTTTGGTATCAGAATGATCCTGGCCTCATGAGTTGGAAAGTTTTCTCATGTATTTTTTTGCTAAGAGTTTGTGAAGAATTGGTATTAATTCCTCTTTAAATGTTTACCAGTGAAGCCATCTTGGATGTATATTTCCAAGATGTAGTTTTTTCTTAAATACTAATTCTTTTGTTATAGATTTATGCATATTTTCTTTAGAGAGTAATTGTAGTTTGGTTCTTTCTAGGAATTAATCATTTCCATCTAATTTATCTAGTTTATTGGTATAAAGTTGTTTATAGTATTTCCTTATTATTTTTATTTCTATAAAGTTGTAGTATTGTCTCCCTTTTCATTCCTGGTTTTAGACATGTGAGTCTTCTTCTTTTTTTTTTTTTCTTGGTCATTTGTCTGTTCAGGTTGTTATAACAGAACATCACAGACTGGGTGACCTATACCCAGTAGAAATTTATTTCTTACAGTTCTGGAGGCTGGGAAGTCAAGATCAGGCAACAGCAGATTTGGTTTCCAGTGAGGGCCCCTTCCTGGATCACAGATGAAGCTATCTAGCTGTATTTTCCCATGGTGGAAGGGCCAAGATCTTTCTGGCATCTTCTGTGAGATCATCAATCTCACTCATGAGTTCTCTACTACTATTTAACAGTATTCTTAGACGTAATAGCACTTAGTCAAGAGCTATAAAATGGTGGACAGCAGGGCAAAATAAGAAGGTATTACTGAGTTCCAACTTGTACAGTTAACTGAATGACTCACTAGAAACAGAAAAATCTTATGGGAACTGGTTAAAGAATTATAAAGAAGCTGGACGAAGCTGGACGTGGTGGTGCATGATGTGGTGGTGCATGAATAGCTGAATCACAGCTATTCATTCAGGTGGCTGAGGCAAGAGGATCACAAGTTTGTAGCCAGCCATCAATATGGAAAATTTAGCAAGAATCTGTCTCAAAATTAAGTAAAGGAAGGGCTGGGGATGTGGCTCAGTGGCAGAGCACTGGCTTAGCATGCATGAAGCCCTGGATTTAATCCCCAAAAGAAGGAAGAAAGAAATCTCTATCTTTAACTCATATATGAAAAAAATGTATATAATTTAAAACTAAAAAAATATCTAAATGAGATAAGAAATAGAACTTTAAAAAATAAAACTGGCTGGCCATAGTGTCATATGCCTGTAATCCCAATGATTTGAAAGGCAGATGCAGGAGGATTGTGAGTTCAAAGCTAGCCTCAACAACTCAGCAAGGCCCACAGCAACTTAGTGAAACCCTGCCTCAAAAAATGAAAATAAATAAATAAAGGGCTTGGGATATGGCTCACTTAAGTGCCTCTAGGTTCAATCCCTGATACTAGTATGGAAACAATGCATATTTAAGACACAATTTTTAGAACACACCTGAAGACTTCTACTTTTATATAGGAAGACCATGTATTTTAAATGCTAGTTATTACTGAATTAATCTATACATTTAAAAAATATTTATATTTTTAGTTATAGGTGGACACAATATCTTTTTTTGTGTGTGTGGGGGGTGGAGTTGTTGAAGTCTGTTTATTTGTGTTAATGTAAAGCCTAGCAGCAATTAGAGTACAACCAAGAAAAATAGTTCAGACACTGTGATTTGTCTGGAGAAGGCAGCACTGGTGTTATTATTTTAACTTAAAAATCCAGCAGTATTTCAAATGTTCTTTTCAAATGTTCAAAGATTTCTTGATTGCTAAAGGGCTGTATCAGAAGGCAGAAGAGTGGCATCCTAGGGCTGCTTGCCTATGATTTTGGGTAGTTCCAGAGAAGAAAAGAAACATAAGGAATGAGAGCTGTTTAATGACTAGAAGTTTCTTGTGCCCGTAGGTACTACAACATTAATTTGATGAGTAGTGAGAGCAAAGAATTTGAGAATTTAGATTTATTAAACTTGTACTCTTCAAAGTGCACCTTGATAACA